GTAAAAGTATACCCAGATTCTATCTTACTTAAATTTGCTTACATTATTATTTATTATGCATGATATGGACATGAATCCAAAAGGCCTTTTTATTTAAGTATTCAATATTGATATATTTTTATTTGTTTGTTTGTTTGTTTATTTAGTGGTGTGGGGGGATGTCAAATCACAACCTAGTGGAGTAGGTTCTCTCCTTGTAAAATACGGATCCAGAGATTCAACTGAGGTTGCTAGACTTAGTATCAACTGATAAAAAGCAAGTGTGCCATGTTAATCTCCAATCCTACCATCTCCAAAAACATGAAAGATTTTTCATCAATGAAATACAGAAAACAGTAGCATGTGTTTGTTGAGTGTGCTACAATCTTGATCAGTGACCTGCCAGATTATAAAGCCCATCGTATTATTCTACTCTGCAGAAATAATCAATTCTAGTAAGCAAAACTTTTCCACTTAGGATACAATAGCAAAACTAGAACGAATAATCAATATGAAGAGGTTTCCTCAGAAATGCAGGCAGCACCCTGTGATGTTTAAGTACTGTGTAACTTTTTTCTGAAGGCACCATGGTTATCTCTCTTTGGTGTTTTAGTCATATAATATTATTCTACTCTTATGTGAGTAATGGTACTAAATTTGTCCTTCTGTAAATCAATTTATACCAATGTACATGACTTCAGTGATAATCACCACAAAGAACAGGGTGTCACAAAACTAAAATCAAAGTCAAACAAACAAGCAAACACAGTCCTTGCCTCTACTCTTGCTGCCCCTCCCTCTCTCTCCTCTCATGGTCAGGTTTAGTCTGCCCGCCATGTTCAGCCTGGACTCTTACCTCTGCCTCCTTTTTCCTTTATATCTACAAACAAAATCTCTAAAACAAACAAATAACGACATTAGCAAAAAACCCTTTCCTGAGTGTTGATTTGTGCAGCAATATGTGCAAAGAAACTCAAATAAATAACCAGCATGGACAAAGGAAGGTCATTGGGTCTTGTTCTTATTATTCCTTAGATTTGCACCTCAGAGGACTTGGGTAAGAATAAAGCACCGAGGAGAAATGAGTCTTTTCACATAAGTGCTTATCTTAACAAGTTTCTTCCATGAATTATTGTGGTCATTGCTTTGTGTGCCATTGTAAATCCAGGATTAAGTGTTTTAAATGCACATGAGATTATTAAGGGAAGGAAATTCTTTTTCCTATCATTTTTGAGAGCAACTTTACCCAGTGAAGTACAACACCCATATAAATACCCAAGAAAGTGAACTCATGACAGATCAAATAATGATGACTCTGAAGTCTATCTTTGAAAAGCAATTTAAGAGTAGCAGGGATGAGGGGAGTTACTTACAAACCCACAAATGACTCATAAACAGCTGCAAATCCCAATGCCCACCAAAACACCTGTGAGTACACAGAATCATAATCCTGCAGCTGTCTGCACAGACTACAGGACGCTGACAGGTCTGAAGAATCTAAACAAGATTGTGTGGCTGATTCAGGCTCCTCCTCCCTAGCAGCTGTCTACTCCTTGTATAAATCTTGGGAGGAAACTTTAAAAATCTTTCAAGATTTGATTTCCCCAGAAATGGCACTCAACATCAGGTCATTTCAACGTGGAGAAAAGTAGTAGAAAACAATCTCTTCTCGAGTCCTGTTCTCATCTTCAGCACTTCCTAGGATCACCTTCATTATCAGAGTTAATTATTAATTTCCTAGAGCCCTCATGTAGTGGGATGTTGGTGACAACTTTGTTGGTTTCTGAGAAAAGAAAAAGAATTGACTATTGGAGAAACGTGTAAAGCAGAAAATGACAAGAAAGACACAAGCCAAAAATGTGAAAAAAGTAAAAGTAACAGTTTGATAGAAAGGAAATTGATAGAGTTCTTTCCTATAAGAGAGAACATCAGAATTGGGTGGTGGGGCTTTTGGCTCAGCATTTTATAAGACCCTATGGCCCTCCTAATTTCCTTACCTAAGTGCAAGAAAAATGAAAGAAGTTTACTTTTTCTTTGCCCCTGAATAGTCCTTTTCATCTCAGCTATTTTTCCAAAGAAATGAAAGTGGCTCTATTAAGAGGCCAGATGCTGTTCCCCTATCTGCCTGTGTCCTCCGAACTTCTCCTCATTTATCCTGTCCCAGTATGGAGTGTATAAAATTTTGCTTGATAGAAGAAAATATATGATACTGGTAATATGTCTCAGCACTTAAGGCTACTCACTGCTCTTGTAGATCTGACATTTATTTTCAGAAATCACATGGTGGTTAATAAGCATTCTAAATTCCAGTTACAAGGGATCTGATGCACTTTTCTGACCTCCAAGGGCACAAGACTTCCATGTGGTACACATACACACATGCAGACAAAACACTTATGCACATGAAAGAAAAAAATCAAGATATTTGCTTATAAGCCTTTTGCCTGGATTTTCTTTCTGTCCCAATTTTATCAGTCCCTTTATTTTATCTTTGCTCTTTAAGCATGGTAGACTTAACTCACCCATCCAGAAGTGTTCTAAGCCATCCCTTAGCCTGCCTGCAGAATGACTTCATAAGCACATGGTGAAATTTAAATCTAAAATATGCGCAGAGTGGTGTGACAGGTTACTCACAAGAGCACATTCACAAATTTGGAAATCTTAAACCCGTCATTTTATTTTTTGAAATTCTGACTACCTTATAATTTTTATGTACCCTGTTAATTCCACCATTTTAATGATCAAGATTTTCTATCAGACTACAAATCTAAAAATCTACTGTTCTTCAAAGTGCTATGTCTTCTCTTTAGAAAAAAATAAATCTAAAGTTGGTGGGTAGCAAAGTTCTTAATATTTTTCAGCCAATGACTTACTAAGCCCACACACTGAAGCAAGTCTCTTTGCTAAGGAGACTTCTCTAAAGTCAGAATTTGTCCAGGTCACTTATTTCAAACCTTCAAGTGTCCAATTGCTTCCTATTACCTAAATGATTAAGTCTGAATTCATAAGCGTGATTCATCAGTTCTTCGGGTGAATTGAGCCTCATTTATAGATACCGATTCATTTCTTGCTATTTTACAGCACACATTTCTTACAAAGTGCCTCATACAATATATTATTTCACAGTTCTGTTCTTTTATTCATACAGTTTCCTTTGACAAAAGTGCCGGCCTCACATTTTTCTTTAACCTTTATAGTTCTTTCTTCAAGTCTTACCTCATGACTGTGCTTGGTATTCTCTAAGAATACCTCAGTGATTTAAATGATTCTCTTCTGCACTCTGCAGCACTGTGTGGGCTACCGTCATTTCAAATACACTATATCACACTGAAACCAGCAATATTTTGTTTTCATTCTCCTTCTAGAATGTAAACTACCAGTGGGGGACACCTTTATTTTTGTTGTTTCAGAATTCTCATTTCACTACTCCCACTGTCTGACCGGTTTGAAATAAATAATATGTTAAAATGTTTTGCTTGTTATGAGGAAAGGCAAACTAGCAACTGATCTCATTAGGCAAGAAGAGACTGAAGCACATTTACAATTAATCAAGTTAGTTGCCAGATAATCAGATAATAGGATGGGTCCTAATGCTTAAAGAGGGATGCCTACCTTCAAACCTTGAGAGAATACCATCGATTTTTAAATCATGTATTGCTAATAAATATAATGACAATATTTCACAAACATTGTTCTGGACCAATTTTAGTAAATATATGTTAAGAAAACTGTCAAATTAAAAATAAATGAGCAAGTAGAAATCAAAGTGCTCTCTCTCTCTTGCTCACTCTTGCTCGCTCTCTCTCTCTCGTTCGCTCTAGCTTGCTCTCACTCTCTCTCCAGATTCCATGAGCATAAGAAGAGTATTTTGAAGTTCCATTTTACATATATGATTAAGGTTATCAGGAGCTTTTTTATTGATTTTTATTGAGCTCTACATTTTTCTCTGCTCCCCTCCCTGCTTTACTCCTCCCCCTTCAACCATCTCCGAAGATCTCCATGATCCCAATTTACTCAAGAGATCTAGTCTTTTTCTACTACCTATTTTGATTAGATCTATGTATGCCTCTCTTAGGGTCCTCATTGTTGTTTAGGTTCTTTGGGATTGTGAATTGTGGACAGGTTTTCTTTGCTTTACGTTTAGTAATCACTTATGAGTGAGTATATGTAAAAATTGTTTTTCTGGGTTATCAGGAACTTTAAACAACCTGAAAATACATTGAACTGGAAAGATCTTGAGTATCACTCCTAGAGATCAAAGCAAACTAAAAGGAACAAACAGTTCCATAGAATCTAAATTCTTTATTAAAAATGCATCTGAGGATTGGATGCATTCATAGAATATTGAATATTGAGAAGTATTTTGAGTCGTGTGACCCCAGAAAGATATTTCTATAGTTCAACAGAGTTCTTACATAAAGGAGCTTTGTTTCGAAACTTTTTCCCACAACCAGACTGTCGATTCAGTGAATGTGAATTTTACTCATTATTCAGTTGTTTACCAAATAAAACATTTAGAATGGATAAATTTCTACTTTATAGCTATTAGCAGGAAACCATATATGTTTCATTTGTTTAGATTTTTTAAACTATTTTTCATTAAAATATAATTATATAACCCAGGCTTTAACTTTTTCCATTCAATTCTTTCAATGTTCCATTACTCAAATAACTCCCTTTATTCAGTCTCCCTCCCTATCTAATTGATGACCTCTTTTACTTTGATTATTATTGGTATGAAAGATGATAGATAGATAGATAGATATTATATATGCATATATAGTATGGATAACCTGCTGAGTGCCTTTTTATTATGTGTATATTTGATAAACTATTTTTGTATTTGATAACCAATTAGGGGGATAATCCCCCCAAAATTCTACTTCTCTCAATAATCATTGACTGCCAGTAATTTTTGTCTCCAGGGAACTCCAGGGGATTTTCCCTTAGCATGTCTATCTACTGATATTGCCACTGTGCAGGTCTTATTTAGTCAACCGTTTCTAGGAGACAGTCTTTTAACAGACTCTCTGGAATTCTGGATTTTAACCATCTTCCATTCTTGCGCAGGGACCATGCTAATCTTCTTATATCATTCCAATTTTTGTATACGTGTAGGGAAAACATTGTGAAGATGGAGAGTCTGTGAGGCCACTGGCAGTGGGACCAGGATTTATCCCTATTGCTTGAACTGGCATCAAGGAACACATTCTTTTTGGAGAGATACCTTGCTCAGACTAGATATGGCAGGGGAGGGCCTTGGTCTTGCCTAGAATTAAGTGTCAGACTTTGTTGACTTCCTACGGAAAGGCTTTTCCTTTCTGAGGAGTGGATGGGGAGGAGAGATGATGGGAAAGTGAAGAAAGCTGGAGGAAGGAAGGGAGTGGTGAAGGCAGAGATATAGGGCGCTGAAAAGAAATGTCACACTGGCTCAGAACTGAGAGAGAGACAATTATTTATTTAGGAGGAAAACTTACAAATTAGGATTCTCTGCTTGAACGATGGACGGAGATTGGATCCAAGCGGAAAGAGCAAACAGGAACAAAGGAGGAAGGGGGAAGAAGGGGCCGGACACGTTTTGTCATCCGGTAAACAGTCTATGAAGTCACGCCCCAGTAGGCAGGTAAAACTTCCTGCCCAGAGTGGGAACAGGGGTAAATATGAGAAATGAGAAAATATTATGTTAAAAAATCTTAATAAAAAATGAAAGAAAAAGAGGAAATTAAGTTAAGCAAGAGGCAGGCAAAAAAAGAGCAATATTTCAAACCTCTCTTACCCCATGTTTTCTTGACGTTTTCGGGAGGGTTTTGTCTTGTAGGTGTATTCATTGGTACTTGATTTACCACGATGAATTCATTTCTCTATTGCCCTGTTAATGTTTTCTATAATGGTCTTCGTTTACTATAAAGAGAAGCTTCTTTAATGAAGGGTGAGAACTATGTTTATCTGTAGGTAAAAGGCTACATTTTATAATGTATCTAGGAATTATGGTGACTTAGTAGAACAGTGGGAGTAGGTTCTCATTTAAGATCCACTGTAGTCTCTTAAAGTTGGAAAGGGTAATTTTTATTTAGAAAACACTATATAGCTAGGACAAAGGACTCAGATTTGAGCTGGATCTAACATGAAAGTCCCCTTCCTTTGGTTTAGTTTTCATGGTACCAGAAGGCACTGTGCAACCTGAAGAGAATTCTGATGTTTATGAACCATAAGTGTGATTATCATGTAAGATATCCTTAACTGTGTGATAATGGTATTTGTCTGCTGGTAGAAACTAGCAGCTGTCTAATTGGATTTAGGCCACTCAACAGAAAGGATTTCATTGTACCAGAATACAATGTAGATAGCCTTGTACTAGAAATTTAGTAAACTACCTGAAGGTAGCGATGTCTTGTAACATAAATGAGAGGCTACTGAACCCTGTAATTCTTAGGATTAAGCTATTTTTGTGGAAGGAAAGGTGTTGGCTACTTTTATGTCAACTTGATACAGCTAGAGTCATTTTGAAAAAGGGAATCTAAGCTAAGTTAATGCCTCGATTAAATTAACCTGGGGCAAATAGGTGGTGAATTTTCTTGCTTGATATTTCAGTGGGGGAAAGTTGAGTTCATTGTCGATGATGCCATAACTGGGCTGGTGGTCCTGGGTGCTATAAGAAGACAGACTGAGAGAATCCTTGAGGAGCCATACCATAAGCTGTTTTTTTCCATGGCCTCTGCAACAACACAAAGTCCTCCCTGAACCAGTCTCTCCTAGAAATTGCTGGATAAATAATATCAGAACAATAGCAATATCAATAGAATAAGAAAAAGTTTATGGAGCCCCACCTATAACAACAAATCACAAATAACTACTGACTGCTGAGAGATTATATTTTTAATATTATTAGTAGTAGTTTTCGTGTTATTCTTGTATGACTACCTTAGCCTACGCTGCCTATTTCCTTGGAAAGAAATGCTATACCAGATAACTTTAATCTTCTTTACCAAATTGTCTTGCAAGGTGAGGTCTGATGAATGATCTTCCTTCACAACAGGATTTTCCAGTGTTTCCAGAAGCTCTGTAGCTGCCTTCATAGTGACACTCTCAGAATTTCCACTTTCCTTCATATTATGAAGTGTGAAATTTTTCTGTATTCATTAATTTCTATTTATTTGTCTAGTTCTGGGAATTTAACCCATGATTTTTTTGTATGGTAGACATTCTGTTTCAGAGCTATATCTGCAGGCCCTATTCTAGGATTATTTATACTGCACACCTAACAATGCCTTCAACAGCACATTTAGGTTCATACTTTTCTTCCAAAAAAGTTATTCTCTTGATATGGTTGTCATGGTTCTGAGTGAGATATCCCTCTACATCTACATATCATTCCAAATTATTAAAGCCTTCTTTTATATGACAGGAATGCATCTCAGATTTCTATTAGTTTCTTCCATAGCCTTTTTTTGTATTTCATAAATCACATCATTCAAAACCTTCTAACACTTTATTCTGTCTTTACTATCATATATATGGTGGAATGGGGCATTCCTGATTAGCAGGAATTTTCTACTACTCATCGTCTTGTTTTGTATTCTTTAAAGACTTTTATTTTTATTTTGAAGATAAATCACTACATATGCTTTCTTAAAAACCAAAATCAACAGCCTGTTATGAACCTAGAATGCAAAATAAGAAAACAATACCAGATTAAATTAAATAAGAGATAAAATTATGTAAAAATACAGCATTTTTCGACATACATTTAGTGATGGCTATGCCTCCAGAGAATGCCCCATGCTCAGCACTGCATAGATAGATCATGGTATTATTTAATTCCTGAAGCTTCCAGAGAAGTGACCAAGCCATGGTTGGGCCTACTTGAGCAGTCATTGAATCTGACAAGGTGTTTTGTGTTGGAATTTAGAGAGAAGAACCTGAAGCCTGTCATGACACTGATCATTAAGGTAATATGGGTTCCTCGGGCTAAGTCACTGAAAACCCTCCTCTCTGACTTCACAGGATACAAGGATAATATGCAGTCACAAAGATCTAGCAAAGATCTTGAGCACCATTCTTCCACTGATCTGATAAATACCATCTGTTTCTGTCTAGTCATACTAACATCTTGAAGAAATGCAGGTTTTCTCACCTGTATTTTACATTATAAAATAATAATGTTTGTTTTATAATCTGTCCATGATGAGATTCTATTTTCAAAACCTGAAAAAAGATTTTTCTTTTACATTAGAAATCTGACAGTGATTCACCTCTCATTTTTACCATAACTAGGTTAGAAAAGTCAGACAGCACTCCTAAATACTGCTTAGATGTTTTTTCACCAACCTATTTTATAAACTTAAAGTTTTGTTGTTAACAAAGAACTAGGGGATGGACATAATCAAGGTAATTACTTTGCAACAGTAATGGATTTGTTCCAATAATTTGTTTCTTATTTCTAAGACATAGTCTAAAGTGTTTTCCTTTTATATTTCCATTTGTATTATGTTAGTGGTCATTTCAATACCCAATAAGAAGATTTATATTCTCTACACAGCTCTACCTTTTCTCTAATTCCTCAATAAAATAGTTCTTTGAGGTCCAGAATCAATTCATTACCAATTATTAAATACAGTGGTGTGTTTGAATTAACTGTTATCGGATCAGGGCAACTCAGTACAGGTTTCTGTATTCGCCTCTTTCTGTAGCCTTTTCTGATATAACAAAGTATCAAGTAATAGGTTGTTAATATATAATAGAGCTGATTTCTCATGTTCTAAAGTATGAGATCAAGGTAAAAACACATTCGCCTTTTGTTAAATGGTGTTACTTTGTTGCTATGTGGATGATATCAAAATGTGAAAGGCCATCTTAAAATCACTGATTTCAGCCAAGTGGCGGTGGTGCAGACCTTTAATCCCAGCATTCCAGAGGCAGAGGCAGGCAGATCTTCTTGAGCTTGAGGTCAGCCTTGTCTACAAGAGCTAGTTTCTAGGACAAACTCCAAAGCTACAGAGAAAACTGTCTTGAAAAACAAAATAAAAGCAAAACACAAAAAAAAACCAGAAAAAAATACAAAGTCAACAAACAAACAAAAACTCACTATGAGTGAAGAACCTTTGAGGCTAAATGGAATGAATCATTGTGACAGCTGCTATCAGCATTCTTCCTTTTAAAACTAAACTGTGTACATAAGCAAGACATAGGGATATAGAGATGGTAGGCAAACGTTTTGCTAATGCTTCACAAGTGCTAGAGGGGCATATTGCTGCGTCTCTGAAGCCCTGGATGTTATATTCTGGTAACAGGAAGCCCAGCATGACGGATGCACTATTTACTGACTTAGAAACATTCCCCAGAGCTGCAAAGTATTGCTGCCTATTTGGTCTTGCACCTGACCTTTTAAAAAGCCATCACCCTAACTTAAATGTTAATATCATCCAAAAACTCCTTTAGGCAATTTTAGAATTCAATATATCCCTTTTACCTGGGCACATGGACCAACCAAGTTGACACAAATTAACCATTATAAAGAACATAATTCTCCCACACCTTAAACTGAATTAAGAGTGATTTTGCATCAAGAAAATGAGTGTGATGTGAAGGAAAGATGAGTGGTAATTCTATCATATATAGAAACTGTAGATTGTGTGTTCAGTATTGTTACCATATTTTTTAAAAGCCCATAATGATGGGATGAATCATCAAATATGAAAACTGCATGCCTTAATTCTATAGGTTAAAGAAACATAAATTTATTTATGATCTAGCATAGTGTTCTTACAATGATATTCTGAAATCATTTTAATTTTGAATCGTGTGATAGGGAAATTAACTTTGACCTTACAATAAAACAGTGCACATCTGTACAAAGCTTTCTAGAAGCAAGTTTTTATCCCACAGTGTCAGGTTAATACTTTATTTGTCAATTTGTTATCAAATGAATGTGCTTATAACCACTAGTTTAAAATGTCAGGTTTGTTGAACTCACAGATTTAGTGGGTTCAATCCAAACAGGTTGGTGCTGAATTGGCTCATATCTGGCGGACAGGCTACCTGTTGCTTATGTTACCTTACTGGTGATGTTAGCTTATTCTATATGCCGGAATGTCCTGACGGAATCTGTGCAAGGAAACTGAAGGGAG